GCCCTCGGGACTCCGAGCGCTGGCCGGCGCGGGGGTGGTCGGCCGGGCGGGACCTCCGCATCGCCGAAACTCGCTCGCTCGTGTCTGCCTGTGCTAACTATATCCGGGGCTGTCGATGCGCAGCCAGTGAGCAAAGTGACCAACGGCTCAGTGCTGCCGCGGCCTGGCCAGGGGCAGCCGTCGCCCAGGACCGGAGCCCGCCCCAGCTCCCAGTCCCCGCGCCCAGCGCGTACCTCTAGGCCGTCCGGGAGACCGCTCCCGGCCGAGCGGGGCCGGCCTGCAGTTGCTCCTCCTGGGGGCGTGTGCGGGGCGGGGGCAGAGCAGGGGCGCCACCCCCAGAGTGCGGTGCGTCTCTGGGATGGGGGGGGGGTATGCTGGCTGGGGCTCGGAAGAGCAGCCGGGGTCCGCTGGAAACCAGCAGAGCGCCTTCCCCTGGTGGACAGAGCAGGCGGAGATTGCAGGCCGAGGCGTGGGGTAAGGGACGCCCCCGAGAGCCAGATTGGAGAAACGGACGGGTTGCACGGGGCCTGGAAATCCAGAGGCAGAGCTGGACGTCCACACAATTTAAGTCTCTTACCGTGAGCACTCCAAACACGGGGAACAGCAGGAAGAGCCTATGTGTGCACCGGGCCGCTTACTTCATCTAGACCCTTCGGCACCCACAGCCCCCCTGCCTGCCCTTGCAGAGGTCAGGGCTGGCTCAAGCGCAGCATCAGTAGGTGGAACACCCCAGGGGGGCTCTGGGTGCACATCCCCCACCCCCTTAAAATGCTGTGCCTGCATGCAGGGCTGTGGCTGGAGGCATCCTCCCAGGAAGCCCTGTTCCTGCATCCAGAAGAGAATCGCATCTTAGCACTTTCCTACTAGACCGCCAGAGCTCTGAACCCGCTTCTCACCAACAGGCTGGAGCATGAGGTGACGTTTCCCAGTTTAAATGTCTTTTTAAAAAATTCAACCATGTGACTGAAGAATGCTCCAGTACTAAATTCCACTCTGTCCAACTCCAAAACATGCAGCTCTGACGTCTAGTGTGTGGGCCACTTCGGTCAGGCCCAGGCAGCACTGCTCTGAGTCTACCCTTGACCCCACAGGCCACGGACAGGCCACGGGACTAATGCTGAATTTATCAGCACAAATCACTGCTTACGACTAGATGCATGACCTAAAGCCAAAGGACAGTACCATGATTCTCAAGCATAAAGACCTGGTGAAGTCAGAAAAAAAGGGACAGTTCATAGAAGTTTTACAATTTATTAAATAGAAAAGCTGTCAATTTGAACAGGAGGAAAAAGGGAAGTTTATTCAAAAAAATAACATCTACAGAAAAATAGGCAAGAAGGCACATAGTGCATGTTCTGCCTTCCCTACGTGGGGGAGCAGTTGGAAAGGCACCGTGGACAGCCTCGTGCTAACACAAGGAGGCTCTGCACACTCTAACTTCCTGAATTCTAAACTTCATCGTATAAAACCCCACTTGAAACATGTATCAAAACCCTCCAGCCAAAGCAGTTTTTCAAACCCGAAGGCCCACAGGTGCACTGAGATCGCTGCACACAGTGGCCCACCTGGGTGACCTGGGGCCCCGCGTGGGGCATCCGCGCTCAGGTCTCCCGGGGCAGGCACTGCCTGCAGGCCCGCAGGAGTGGACTCCGAGCCAGCGGGGGCACCAGGTGAGGTCGGAGAGGCACTAGGGCCCTTCTGAGGCAACCACTCACCGCGGCTCCCCTGCTTTCTCTCCTGTCGAAATTAGGACGAGCAATTGACTTATCTTATAATTGACGTTCCAGAATGACAACGGAAAACACTCATTATAAAACTGTGGTTTTCAGGTTTAGTAACTTCAAAAAATCACTGGCTTTTATAGAAACGTCTTCCGATAGAGCGTTAGTCCATGGAGTAGCAGGAGCTCCCCCAGAAGGCTTGCGGAGAAGCCGGTGCGGCTCTTATGCGGGGGTTGCTTCTTCCTGCAGCAGGCTGCTCACACTGTGCGGTCATGAAATTAGCATGTCATGATAAGTATCTTTACTATGGTGAGGACGACATATTTAAAGACACAACGGCATTTCCAAATCCAGTGAGCAGGGACGTCCAGGTGTGAGCGGAGCTGTGACCTGGAAGCACCTCAGGGTTCTCAAGACTCCTCCTCCTCATCTTTAATTTCAGAAATTCTGTCTATAGATTTAAGGATTTCAGCAACAAGATTCAACGTTTCAGCTCCAGAAACCAGCTGCCTAAAATGGAAACGTGGACGTTATGGGCCTGCTACTGCGACAGTCCGACGGTCCCGACAGAAGCCAGAAAGCAGCCCCCGGGGTGGAAAGCAGAATCTGGCAGCTGCCGCTCTTCCCCGGAGGGGCCCAGCCCCGTGGCAGGCAGACGGGGCGCTCACGGGGAGCGACAGAGCGGCCATTTCCGGGGGGGGGTCTCCTCCAAACTCATCTGCTTCTTATGATGGGAGGGAAACACTGTTATTCCTCTCCATGCAGAACTGAGGTGTTCGGCAGGTGAAGGAGCTGGGACTCTGATCTGTATGAGGTTAGTGCCCTGGTAAAACCAGTGATTACCACAAAGACGGTTCGAGAGCCTGCTGGTCCGGCACATGGCATGTAGCCTCGGGGTTACCAGCACCATCAAGTGCACTTCTGCTCCCGGAGCCCCGTCCGCTGCACACGGTATGGTCATGGTTTCAAACACCAAGCTGAAGACCCGCCCCCCCAGGCCTGCCGGCCATCTCTGCCTCACCCCTGTCCCATGTCCAGGCACCCTCAGCTCCCCCACACTCACTTTATTGAGGAGTGGGCAGTGTTCATGACGACACGGAGGTTCTGCAAGGCCACGTCGGTGTTCTGCTTCACCACCGTCAGGCTGGCGCCCTGGCCAGACCGCAAGGCTTCATTCTCACGCTTGAAGTTAGAGACCTGTGCCTGGAGGTGGGCGAGAGCAGTAAAGCGCTTTGACGGCTGCACGGGAGAGCATCTGAAATGCAGCACGAACCCAAATGAAGCCGGCGGCCTTGGCACAGGCAGTGAGGGGATGGGGGCTGGCCCCCACGGTGGGCATCTCCTGAGGGGGCTCTCGAGGGAGCCGGGCTTCCTCTGTCCTTCAGTCTGCCCTCAGCACTCATTCACAGAAATGGGAAATTCGTGCCAGGCTCCGTGCTGTCCCAGACAATACAGGACATGCCCACCACCCTCCTGCTCAGCAGAGAGAACAGGGCCGGGGGGAGAGCTGGCGTGGCCTGACTGCGGGAGCCACCACTGTTGGGAGGCTCCTGGACCCTGTGCCCATGCTGTCCAGTCACCTGGAGCAAGCTGATCTCCTGTTTCAGCTTCATGACGTGGTTTTCTGCCTTCACAGCCCGTTTCTGTCACCAAAAAAAAAAGGGCATCAGCACCGTGTAACACGGCGAGACACGGATATGGAACGAAGGCGGGCTCTGCCCCCACCCAGGGGCCTTCGGCTCTCACGACCCGGCAGCTCAGCCCATTGTGAGGGACCCCTCCTGGCGCTGGGCCCCTGCGGCTGACAGCAAAGGAGGGGGCACACCCGCTCGTCACAATGCCCCCCAGCCCCCCGTACCGTCATCAGCTCCAGGTTCTGCTCCACCTGCTGGACCACTGACTCCAGATCATGGTAGTCACTTTCCTCCTTGATCATTTTGGCTTCCAGCTTCCGCTCCAACGTCCTCACCCTGGGGACAGAGAAGACCAAGCTGTCGATCACTCACGCATCTCATTCTCAGAATTCATTTGAGAGGCAGTTAAGTGGGGCGGGGCAGATGAACACCGCGAGGGCGCCGGGCCTCAGTGAGGCCGATTGGAGATGTCAGCCGCAGAGCGCGCTCCTCAGCTGGCTCGCCATCCAGCGCTCTGCTGCTTTTAGCAAGCGCCTGGCCGGGGTGGGCCGGGTGTTTGAAATCAACTTTCACTCAGCACACGAGAACGACGTGGGATGCTGACAACCCACAGACGATGAAAGTCAAGCTTGGTTCCACCGCCATCACTTTGTTATTGACGTTTGAAGCGCAGCGCTGACTCAAAGCTTACGTACATTTCTGTTTGAGTTTCAGAGAAGCTCTGAACCTCAGTCAGCTTCCTTCTCAGCTTAGAATTTTCATCTTTCAGCTGCAGAAGAAGAAAATCCTTATTAGAAACTTTGTGTCTCACTCAAGAGGAGTCTGCATCTCTGCAAACTGGTTCTGGAACTTCTCAATAAACTAACATTGTAGGGAGTTAACCTACTGTTTGCTTATGGAGAAAAACCACGAGTGGAAGAATCTCCCTTTAAAGGCCTATGGTCACGGACACCAATTTTACTCCTAACTCTCTTTTAAGTGATGATCATTTCTAAACAAATTTCTTCTCAGAACATGGCGAAACGTCCCTGAGCCGACGCCTGAAGCAGACCCTTTCCTGACTGGGGGGCCCTTGGAGGGTCTCCACGGCTCCTGCCTGAGATGGGCCGCACCCCACCGTCCCGCACACTGCTCTTCCGGGGGCACATCACTCGTGGAATCTGTCAATTCGGGAGACCGCCGCACAGGGGCTCTGGCAGACAGCCGCACCGCAGACCATCTTGTCCTTGGAGCCAAGACCCCAGGCCACCAAGGCCACCGGAGGCTCCAGGTCACCTGTGAGTGCGCTGCAGAGCCCCCTCACTTACTGCTTCATAGCTTATCTGCAGTGTCCGGAGATGCCTGTCTCCCAGAGACTCTCCATGGGCTGCGAAGTCTGTGCCGGGGCTCCCTGCCGGAGAGGCGCGAGAGTCAGAGTCGCTCAGCGTCCACGGGGGCAGCGTCTCGGGCGCCACCAGCTCCGACGGGGCAGAGAAAAAGGAGACGTATGTGCTGCAGGGTGACGTGCTGGCGGTGACCCCAGAGGAGCAGGTCTGCTCCACAGTGGATGGCAGGTAGGCCCCGTTCCACCCGTCGTCCTCATCCTCGTCTTCGTCCTCGTCCAGAAGATCGCCAGCCCCCGTAGGGTCTTCAAAAAATGGCTGCTGATATTCTAAGCCATACCCCATGGTCTGGGAGGTCGGGGAGTTGCGGCCGAGTCCCAGTGAGTGTCTCGTGGCTTCCTAAAGAAAACAGTCGGAGGCACAGCTCAGACCCAGAAGCCGCTGGAGGCCCGTCTTCTGAGGGGCTCAGCAGTGGAACTCCCAGGAAAGAGGAGGGCCAGGAAGGATCCCAGCAGCTTCTCCACCCGACTTTCCCATCAGCGTTAGCTGCAGGCTCCCTTTGCCCCCCAGCTCCTGCAGGGTATCCCACGTCGGAAGAGAGATGTCCTTTGGACGTTTCTCTGTGTACGGTCATCACAGATGATGCCTTGGATCTACCTTTGAATAAATCCTGTTGTTGGCTGTATCCTCTCCTGACAGGCTGAGGTTCTTGGTTTTCAGAAACTCTTTAAAGGAGAATGGATTGGCCTCTGCAAGATCTCCAAGTTTATCATCTAAAACAGTATGACACAACACAATTGCAAAACGTCTCCCAAATCATTGAAAAGAAACTTCCTCATTAATTTCTTTTTCTAAAACACAACCACATCTAAAATCAGGACTGCCACCCTCCTCATCCCACCAGAATTCAGTGACACTAGGAAATGAAAAACCTAGCCAATAAAACTAAAAAGTTTTTAAAGATCTACTTTCACATTCTGAATTCTCCTTCCCAGGGCACCTGGCTGGCTTGGTCAGTAGAACGGGTGACTCTTCACCTTGGGGTAGAGTTTACTTATGAATTCTCCTTCCCACTCCCAACCCCCTGGTTCCCACTCCTTGCTGCCCATGGAGACCACCTGGGGATCTTTGGGATGACAATGCACCTCCACTCCCACACAGACTCAGTTAGTTGGCCTGGGACATAACCTGCGCTGGGGGCCATCCAAGAGTTCCAACAGCGCAGCCAGGTTGGGGATCACTGCTCCATCTCTATCCATTTCCCTGCTCACCCATCCTTCCCTTCTCTCTTTCCCTACCTCCTTTCCGCTCTCCCAGCAATGACCATCTGAGCCCAGGCGCCAACCTTGTGCAAAGTTTTCTAGCCCGTGCTGCCTCTTCAGACCCCTTTGGTGTGCCTTCCCACATCTCTGTCGTCCTGCACATCAGGCTCATCTGTCCTTGTACCCTCTCTCTCTCTACCCTGGGGCCAAGACTGAATCTGTGGGACTCCACCCCCACTTGGCACACTAATTATATGCTGTCAAACTGACAACCAGCCACAGGGCATGTGTGCTTGGCGCTTTGTGTTGGGTAGAGGGAAGAGAGGATTGCCCAACTACCCTACCTCCAAAATGTGTCTCTTGGGCTCCTGGCAGACCTTGCTTAGTACATTTCCCCTTTCCGTAGCCAAAATCTGCAAAGAGATGTCATCACCTTAACGTGATCACAGAGGCCTCTGTGACAACTTGTTTTCAACACAGGGTCTCTATCGCAGTAATTCTCACAGGCTGGGGAACTTTCCAAACACAAGCCCCCGGCTCCTACCAACGGAGACGGTATGGCTTCCATGGGCCCTGCCATGTGTGATTCAGAAAAAGCTCCCGGTAGGCTTTGATGACCAGTGTGGCTGCGCATGCCCTCCTTTGTCTTGTGAAACCTTCTGAATACCCTCACGGGTTGCAATTCTCCTCTGAGACCCTGATGAGACCCCACCTAAAGGCTCGCCCCACACCCTGGACGCCCTGCTCCTGGAAGAGTGACAATGAACTGAAAAGCCGGCCACTGCCCAGCAGCTCCTTTGCCTCACCCCCCCCCACCCCCACGAAGGAGGTGGTTTATGGTGCTCCCGCTGGGCATACCTCTCTTCTGGCACTTACCATCCTACACTGGGAGTGTCTGTGCTGGGGAGGGGGCCCCCCAAGGCCAGACTGCGAGCTCCTAGCTGGCGGGGCCGCTCTGCACCTGTGTGTTCCCAGGGGCCGGCACACAGCGGCACTCGGCGCCCCATCGCTGGGTCAGGGAGCGAGTTAAGGCTACAGCGAGGTCCCTACAGGCAGTGCCGGCTGGGGGCTCCCTGAGGCTTGTCTCTCACCTGTGTCTCCCACGGAAGCTAGCACCGGGCTGGGCACATAGCACATAAACGTCGGCCGAATGCCGAAGAAGTGGGAGTCCAGGTCCCTGCCATGGGGGCGCTCACAGTCTAGCTGGGGGAGACAAGACCGGCGCTCATAGAACGCTGGAGCTGCAATAACAACGAGAGCGATTGGCCGCGCGCCCCG